GGAGAGGGCAGGATCCGGCCCACGGCAGCCGCGTCGGCACAGCCAGAGCCCGGTGCAGGTGACGGGGTCCATCCCGTGTCCCTTCCCCAGTGGCACCCCGGCAGACTCGATGTCACCACCTGCCACCACTTCATTCACCACCTGCCACCCCTTCAGCCACCCCGGGCCACCGGGGTTGACCCTCAGTCCCCCCGGTGTCACCTCGGCAGGAAGGAGCCTCCTGCCCTCACACGGGGCTGGGATGAAAGACGGGTCTTGACCCCCCCAGCACACACAGAACTGAACATGGCTTCTTATTTAAATCCTGCAGGACTTTTAGCCAATTTTAGCCATTTTGGGGCCAATGCAGATGCCAGGGACTGGCCAGACGGGGGGTCAGTACCACCAGTGCCAGGATGGTCCCACCAAGTGAGCTGCACCCAGGGGTCTGACAGCACACGGCGCTCGGTGGCTGCCCCGGCTCACGGGAAGAGCCCCATGTGAGATGCCCCGTGCCGGGGGTCCCGGGGACAGACCCACCCACCCTTCCCCCTCTGGCAGGGACACCCCATCAGCATCTCAGCAGAAGGTTCCTCCCAGTTCAGCCCCACTGGGAAGGCAGGGCCAGGACCCCTGGCAGCCACAGAATTAGGCGCAGCAGAGGCTAATGTGGCCTCCCTGCTCCCACCCCACAGCCCAGTGCCCCAAATCTTCGCTCCCAAACGTGACCCAATGAATGAGAAACGAGAGAGGCGGCAGCAGCGAGGTTGGGTGCGTTTCTATTGCATACAAGATACACACAATCGCCCCCGCAGAGGGGATCTGTACCATGTAACAGGGAAAAGGGAGAAATAAAAAGGGGGTTGGTGACTTTCTAAGAGGTTTTCCTTTATGGAAAGAGCCAGGAAGAGAATCAGAGCCCAGTTGCAGCCCTCGCTCAACCTGGCTGCTGGGAACAGTGTGGTCCCACCAGGCCAGAGCTACATTCACTTGCTTGGGGTCTCCTGGAAGCAAACACATCCCTGCGCTGGAGGAAGCAACGCTGACAGCGAGGGGCCAGAAGAAAAAGCCGCACTGAGCTGCGGGGAACGTGTCCCTGTGGATGTTCAGGATCGTGGCTCTGGGGAGACTCGTCAGACCCCCCGTTAGACAACCACGTTTGTTAGACCTGAACTCGCTGGAGTCCCCAGGGAGGAAAGGGGGACAGGGAGGCAGCTCCCAGGGGTTGCTCCCCCCCGGCAGCGAGGGAACCGTACAGTGGCGGAGGGAAGATGCAAGAGCAGCTGCGTTGTCGGAAAAGAAACCAAAGCTGTTCCACTGAACACATCCACGGCCAGGAACGGCTCCGGCCAGCTCGCTTCAGCTTTAAGCAGAAGGAAGGCAATACTGAAAATAAAGTCTGTCATACAGAAGCTGCAGCAAGGAGGTTTCCAAGCAAGTAGAGGTTTCCCAAAAGAAAAGCAAAAAGAGTCTGGAGAAACTGAGCAGAAATCCCCCAAGCCCTGCGCCAGCAGGTCTGTCCATAAACACCCTCCCAGCACACCAGGGTCCTTCGGGCGAGCGCTTCACCCTGTGGGCAGAGGCTGCAGGGACCCTCCCAGACACAGCGGCACCTGGGAGAGGCTCTGCTGAAAAAGCTGAGAGGGAAAGGAGGAAGTGGGGGCTGTGACAGCACCAGCACAGCCCGACTGGAGGGTCCCTGGGGGTCTGATGCTGTGGAAGGGACCAGCCCACAGCACCATCCTTGTGCTGGTCCCGGCGATTCGGCGTAAGCAGCAGGTCGTGGAGCAGACGCAGGTTTGATCCTCCTGGAGCCCCAGCTCCATGGACACCTCCGAGACCGTCTGCTCTGCACCGAGGGGTGGGCTGGGGAGGTCCTGACACGGGGACAGAGCAGCTCAGCTAGAACCTTCCCTGTCCCCTTGCACAACTGATCACACACGCTTGTGCAAAACACTTGGGAATTAGACCTTTGGATTAACTGTTTAATACACTTGTGCACATGTGCGTATAGCAAAGAGGCAACTGTGAATCATAAGGCTATTGAGACATTGGCAGGTTCTGGGAAGAGCAAAGGCTCGGCGGGAGACCTGGGTGAACCGGGCACCCCTCATTTCTCTGCTTCTTTTTGTCCTCGTTGAATAAACAAAACCCACCCAGAGGAGGGGAAACGGCCTCTTTTGCCCCCATTTACTCAGCTCACGCACGAGAGAGCTGCCAGCCAGGGCACGAGAAAACAAGAGCAAGTCCTGGAGCTCCCTCCTGCCTGCCGCAGAGGAGCGAGGGAGAATCCAGCGCTGGGACACGCTTCGGTTCTCCCTGGCTCAGCTCGTTTGCTGTCACTCGATGCCAGAGTCGCTGTGAAGGTGGAGGCGGTGACGTGTCCTG